AAAAGGAAAAACGTCATGGCTGAGGGTGAGCAGCAGTTAGCTAATCTCTTCAGTTATGTGTCAGAGGCCTTTCCTGGTGCAAATTGCTTTCCTGAAAGAAGGCACTGTGGGTTCCAAGTGTATGCTGTCATAATAGCAGCTGGGAGCAATTCACCCAGATAATCTCACTTGTCCACTACCCCTGGTTTTGGCAGTAAAAATGGTAAATCATTTGAATTTTGGAACTAGAAAGGACATGGAGATCTTTACATTCAATCCCCTAATTTAGGGAACAGAAGCATAGAGAACTTGAAGATGTGCCCAAAGTTGTGTGGCTCATGCTAGCAGGGGATAGTTGGAACCTAGCCTTTTAAGTTTCCAGCAGCAGAACATCTGAGGACATTTGGAGAAGGAGGAAAAATCATACTGGTAAATATAGCTAAGGCATCAGCAAAATGATGAAACTGGTATGTGGTTGTTTTCTTCTTGCAGCAGACTTTTTATTTTTCATCTGACAAATAGACAAGATAGAATAAAACATGAAGAACTAAAAAATATGTAGGTAGCAGATGCTGAGTTTTGTATATATAATGAGTTGTGTGTTTGTCTCTTCTCGTAGGTGAGAAATGGTTTAACCACTAGCTGTGATGGGTGGAGAAACAAAACTCTTGGTGGTGTATAGTGACAATCACAGTCCCCCAGCTCAGCCATACAACACATGAAGAGATCATGATTATGAAGGGCCACACAGAAGAGCCAGGTGTTCAACAGCCAACAAAGAATATGCATTTTCTTCAGATGTCACAAAGCTTCATTTTCATTACTGAGTAATCACTGTAATAGCATCACTTTTAGTTCAACCAACAGTATCTGTGATGGGGCAAAAGAAAACCTTAAGTCAGCATTAGTATTCTAACACTAGCTTCACAAACACCCTAAACATTCTCTCTTTACAGCACCTCACAGGTCATAGAAAATGATAAGACAATCTCTTTATTGCTGAATTTATAATCTATAGCTTTTGAATTCTTGAAAAATGTTTTAGAGGTTCCTATCTCTATGGTGCCAATCATCTGGTATTTAGATGCTCAGATTCATAAGCTAAAAAAAGCACATATGAGTGAAGTGATATAAAGGGATTTTGCCTCTCCCAAGATAGCAGTCTCTAGTCTGAAGTAATGATTTCAGTGAGGAGGGTTTGAAGGGTCCCTGGATGTATCCACAGTGGCTTCCAGACAGCTGATGCAAAAGCCAGAGGGAGACCTGGGTGAGCAGTCATTTGTTGGCTGGTTAGTGGTAGGGATGATGTTCCATCCAGTATTTATGACAAGAGGCCTTCTAATATGACATATTACCAAGGCAATAATACCAAACCTATACCTTAACCACTGTGGAATTGGCCTCTCTAAGTATCAAAAACCCTGAGGGAAATATTTTTCACAAATATTAAATAACACTGTAGCTTTCTGCATTAAGCATATTTAAGCTCCACAGGAAATAGTTCTTCAGGAGAGATATGTATATGCCTTTCTATATATTTTAGCCAAAGTTGATGATTTTAATGTTTTAGATCATATGGTAAAGCCCCTGCTTTACTCAAAAAGTATAGGAGTGGTG